GTCGGCACGCCGTTGTGAACGACGGAAATCCGGTCTTCACCCACGCCGAGCGTTCGCATGTGGCCTGCGAGACTGTGCGAAACGCAAACCAGCTGAGTTGCTTTGGCGATCGAAGTTTGCTCGATCTTTTGATTCATCCAGTTCTGCCACTTGCGTGTCGAATCGCGCGCGGTGGGACTATGCACGTGATACACCAGCGGAACGCCGGTGATATAGGAAGCCCCCATCGCCAGCATTGCGGTCCGTGGCGTATGGGCATGAATCACCTCGAACTGTTCCTGTTTGACCAGGTCGGCAAGTTTCTTCGCTTGCCACAAGTCAAAGCGATGACGCATCGGTAGATCGAAAATCGGACTCTTTCCATCCGCTCGAGCCTCGGCGAATTTGCCAGGCTTCACACAAACGAAACTGGCATCGTAGCCATAATGAGGCAGGCACTTGCCGAGCAGATCTTGCACACGTTCGGCCCCGGAATAATGCTCGCCATTGATCACGTGGACCACCTTCGCATGACCAGCGGTAGCGGCGGAAGAATCGGTTTGGTGTGCCTGGGAAGCGGGCGGAACAATCACGTTCGACATGCGAGGGCCTTCAAAGCTTGAGTGCGGTTTCTCAAGCCTAGGTTTCCCTCACGCGGTCGGTCGTGACAATCGATCCAAGCCGACTGTTTCGTTGCAACCAATGTAACGGTCGTAACGATTATGCGACCGTCGAAACCCAACATGGGGTGGTGCGGGTTTACAAACCCGGACCAGCCATTGTCGACAGTTGCTTAGCCCAAACCGAACAACGCGCCGATTTCTGGGAGCTTCGCGTAGAACAAGTATCCTCCGGCGATCAGCATGCCAAACGACGAGACCCACAGCCCTACGTCCCACAGCAGACCAGGCCGCAAACGTGGATCAATGCGGAGGTAGCGGTAATAAAGGGCTGCGATCGAAAGCATTGGCAACATGATTGCCTGCATCACCCCGCTCAGCAGCACCAACTGGGCTGGCTTCGGAATGAACGCGTAGACCGTGAAGCAAAATAGAGGAAACGCGATGTTGAACGCGGAGACCGTTTTGTGCAGCGCCGTTTTCGTCGGCCGAATGAAGCCAAACAGTCGCACACCATCGGCATCAACGCGTGCGTGACCCGCGTTGGCGACAAAGAACGTCGAGTACAACACCGCAAACGCGCCGAACAAAAACAATGTCGGAGCGACGCTGCCGAAGACCGGCTCGTACATGACGCTCAGCGTGCGAATCAAGTCGGACTCCTGCGGATTCATTCCGGTGCGTCCCAGAATGGCCGCCCCCAACAGGTAAAACGCGATCGTCGCGAACGTGTAGACCAGCATCGAACCCCACGCGTCCCACTGCATCACGCGTAGCCAACCGGTTGCACGTCGGGCCCAGCCGTCGCTTTCGTCTCGTTTGCCGGTGAAGCGAGCATAACCTTTTTCGACGCACCAGTAGGGGTAAGCGATCAGTTCCGCCGATCCGACACCAATGATGCCGAACGTTGCCAGCGCGGTGATCACCGGAGTCGTGCCAGCGATGGTCGGGTCAGGCAGCGTGAAGCTAAGCCCTTTTAAAACTTCGCTGCCAGAGATGGCCCAGTCTGGCGAGAATTGCAGCGCGAACAGATTGCCAATGGTAATCAGCGTGAAGCCAGCCACGAGCACCGTCGAGAAGTTTTGAATGAAGTGGTATCGACCCACGTAGAGCAGCATCGAAGTGATGATCGCGATGATGCCTGCCCAGATCTTGTCGTCGAGACTGACAACGGACGACTTGATTTGGCTCAGTTCGTCGCGGGCCGTTTCAATACGCGTGGCAATCGGTTCGGCGGCCGATTCGTCGGAGGCTTCTGCCAACGCGGCTTGGTTGGTTTGCACTTGTCGCCGCAGTTCCAAGTAACGAACTGCTTCTGGGCTGAGGCCAGACTCCAGCTTTTCGAGTCGTCCCTGGGCGAGTGCCAACGCGTCGTCGTCTCCTCGATCGGTGGCCAGGCGTGCCAATGTTTCCTGCACTTGAATGTCGGCTTGGGCTTTGGCGAACTCGTTATAAGTGCGTCCCTTTTCGGTCAGAGGAATGCTGATTTGCAGAGCTTGACCGACACTTCCGACGATACCACCCAACTGT